TCAGAAGTATAGAAATCCTTCTGTAACCAATGCCATCAGTATGTTTTGCAACAATAAGGTTGCGAAGGTCTTGAGAGAGCTCTTTGCTTTTACCCATCATGAAATGTTTCTTGTGTGACACGTTGGTCATGAGATACCGTTTTATAGGCCATCAGTTGGGACTGAACCAACTAATATTAATTTCCACTGACAAGGGGCAGGATTGCTTTCTAATTACTGATAGATTTCAGCTGGTGTCTTTCCATGCCTTTTTGCTCCTCCCTTTCTTCATGTGTTCAATAATTTTTTCCCTGCGTCATTCTACTTTATTACACAGAACTTAATTTCTGAACTTATTTGTATTGCTTTGTATTTATGGATTACTTGGACATCTGGTGAAAATTTCATGTCAACAGCACTTTTAGAAATATATTTACTGAGAAAAATGGTGATGTGTTCAATACTTACTTTACCCGCTGTATACCCTGTACAACCAGCAAAGTTTCAGGAGTGACAGCCTAATTCCCTCATAAATGCGGGATTCATTTTCGAAATCAAGCAGCAATGTTCAAGCAATGCAGGCTAACAGATTCATAGAAAATAATTTGAAATATATTAGGCTGCTTATAAATAATTGCAGTTGCAATTATTTATAAAAGTAATGACTAGTAAATCTTGGAATTCTTTGTACATTGCTATTCTTGTGGTAAAAAAGTTAATAGTTTTGCAGCACTGCAACAGTTATTTTCCATAATTTAATATAAAAACACAGTAGGGGAAAGTGGGGTAAAATGAGCCATTTTTTATTGATGTACAATAAAATTATCTAAAGTAATTTCAGGATGTTTCCTATATCATTTTAAATGATCAGAATGTATCTATGACAAAGGGTTCTAAAAATATGGCTTCTTATAAAAAAGTGTTTCTGCGGCTCAGTTTGCCCCACGGTGGGGGTAAGTTGACCCAAGTCAGTGGGTAAGATTCCCATCTTAGCGTAAATTGACCATCTGAATTAATCTGATTCAAACCCATGTGAAATTTTAAGATAATTTACCTCTTTTAAAAACTAATTTAATAATCAAATTTCCTTTTTCAAACAGTCATATTTCTTTTCTTAAAACTAACTTAACATAAAACCAGCCAAATAAAGGTTAAATTTCAATCATATATATATATATATATATATACACAGTATATATATAATACTCCTGTGTGTGTGTGTGTCCCTTATTCTGTCCCTTATTTGTCTATGAAAAACCACGATTGCCCCTTATTTTCCTTTTCTGAAGTTGGCAACCTTAGTTGGGGGCCTTATGTTGACTTATAATGTTATTAACGCTGTAAAGCCTGAAAAAATCTTTATATATATATATATATATATATTGATAGATTGTTTTTTTATGTTTTGATTAGTAATATGCATTGTTAAGAACTTCATTTGGACAGCTTTAAAGGTGATTTTCTCAGTATTTTTTATTTTTTTGTACCGATTCCAGATTTTCAAATAGTTGTATCTCGGCCGAATATTCCATACATCAATGGAAAGCTTATTTATTCAGCTTTCAGATGATGTATAAATCTCAATTTCGAGAAATTGACCCTTATGACTGGTTTTGTGGTCCAGGGTCACATATAGTATGATAGGGAGAATATGGAGCTCATACTCAATGAGGATAAAACACCTCAATTTTATTCACCCAAAAAAATAAAAAATATGCAATTCGGGGGGAACTTGCTGATATTTATGAAATTGTGATATCTTGTAAAGTAAATCAATGAGATCTGTATAGCTCTATAGCAGACTTCTTACAGATATTATTACTCTTACAGCATGGTGTATTACTCGTGCATAAAAATGACATGGTACATGCATAATATTGAGCTAACAACTTGTCAGTTACCAAAATTGACTCGTCCAAAACTTCAGAAGTGTACGCTGGAGGATTTTTGTGTTTTATGACTCGTCCCACAATGTTCTGGAATGTTTCAGAAAGCACTAGAATTTTACAGAATAGTCCAGAATGTTACAGAAACTTCTAGAATGTTCCCATCCTTGTGAAAGCAAATTATCTAAAAATAAATAAATAAATAAAAAACATGCAAAACAAAAACTTTTCTGTACTAAACCATTTTTTCATAATTAATGATAGAAGTTCTAAAAGTTACCTGACCTATTTAACAAAATATTGATTATATAGTGCAATAGTACAATAATAATTGGCACCCTAGAATTACAGAAGAACCAGAAAAAAATTTAAGTGAAACAAATTTTTGTTACATTGTGTAATTAAGTTCAGATCAGTAAGTGTTCTTTTTGAAATAGTACTAATGATAAAAAACGATTCTTTCCTTTACTTTATAAAATCAGTAAAGATTTTACAGCAAAAAGACACATGTATGTACATGACCTGAAGTGGAACATTTTTAGTATTAGTTTAGTATTAGTAATACTAGCTTTTACTTGCCAAGTATAAACTATCAACAACAGAAGGCATGTAATAGGTTGTGTACAACAGGTTTTTTAAGTTTTGATGATGTTAAGAATTTAAAGGCCTTCATGTACATCGAATATGATTGAGTGTAGGTTTAATAGGGTTAAAGTAATATTAATACTTTCTTCTAGTATGCTGGATTAGGAATTTGAATAAGCCATAACCCTTAGTATGAAAAACATATTATGTCTATGATAAATGTGTCTTATCAATGGAGAGATGTGCTATTGTCTTTCTAATCAATCAGACTTAGATTTTTACACGACGGACAATGAAACGGAAAAAAATCTCATGTATTTACATTTAAGAATATCTTGGTCTCTCAAGACCAAAATATTATAGACACAGGATTGTGGTGGACTTTCCACTGTTCTTATGCCCCTTTTTCGAATATATATATGCTTCTCTCTGACTAGATATTACAACTGTGTGCCTTTCGCTGGCTGCATCATAGTCGGACCCTCCAGCACGTGTCACTCACGAGTGAAGACCTTTGAGGAACTTCCTCTGGAAATGACATCACACAAGACACATCATGTAAGACTAAGACCTCCAGTATATGTATAGTCTTTGTACGCTAAAGGATGTTAACATGTATATTGTTTCATGCATTTTTGTGCCCCTATAGGACAGCCAGACAGACAGTGGGATGGTTTTGGCATCAGATGAGCTCGAGAGGTTTGAACACAAGCACAGAGGGGCCATGTTGAAAAAGTAGGCGATACTGAAAATTATGCACACCATTTATCATAAGAAAAATGACTAGGGCTATGGCTTACTTCATTTATAATTGATCAGTTTTCATACTCTGGAGTTACATTAAGCATTTTGTCATTGTGTGAACTCTCACATCGGCTCTGTAGTACATCAGCGGGCCACAGCACAGAACGCCTCAGTTCTCCGTCCATGAGCAGCAGTGACAGCACACTGCGCCCACCCTTCTTCAGCCAGCTCTCGGGCCAAACCTTCTACAACAACGAGTACGGCCAGCTGTCGGAGGAGGGCGTCAGCGACTTCTTCTCCTCGTCGGATCAGGCCATATACCAGGGAGCCTGCCCGGCAACCTCCAACCTGTAACAGCACCGATTGGCCAGCCGTAACCAGGCCCCGCCCCCTCACAACTAACTAAGCTGAAGTCTAGCTTTGTAAAGTTCTCTTAGCAGCCACTGGGTGGCACCATTATGTCCAGTTCAAACCAAAAAAGTATTTTATCGCCTTAGTTACATATACCTTTATAAAGAGTAAACTTCTTTTTATTTGTACAAAAAAAGAGAGAAAAGAACCAGAATGGAGAAAAAAAATAAATAAATGAATATATCATCTTTTGACTGATTTTTGTTGTTTAAGTGACATCTGATGTTACATATTTTTAAAATTTACATACATTTTACAATACTGCATAAAACAATTATATGGTTATATTTTAATAATAATTTTATGGAAACATAAGTGTATTATATATTTTTTTATCAGGAGACATTATTATTAAAGACAATAAACTCAAAGTACTCATTTAATAACCTAATTAAGAAACAAGTCTTGTGTTGAATGGCTCCATAATGTTTATTTTGATTCCTTTTCAACATTATGGTACACCTTTAAAAAAAACTAACCTGAATTTTGAAAAGACAAACAAACAATGAAAGCAGCTGTTGCTGTGGTTTATTCTAACCATGGTAAACAAAGAGAATAAAGTAGCGTAGCCCAGATTTGATTAAGTAGGGCTAAATTATATCTGCTGAAACGAGTGTGGAAACTCAACAGTCATGGTTTGTTTGATTAAAGTTTGACTAAAAGCAAAAAAATAGTTTAAGCCACAAAGCTGAAAAGTAGGTTGTGGGTTCTGTTCTCATTAAATGTAGTGAAAATACACTTCTGTTGCCATGTCAACTTGTGGCAACGACGCATCACACATTTGACGCATAGCTTGCTTTCACGTGGAACAGTCCTGTGTAACCAGTGCAACCAGATTTTAGAACATGGTCAAAACACTGACAGGAAATTATTCAGCCTCTTTACAGCCGTGTTGAGAGGGAACGCTTGACAAGACGTAAACAACACGTTTCCAGCCTAATCTTCACAACAATAAAAGGTTAACCATTAAACATTATAAACTGAGGAAATAAAAGTACCGTTAAGCCACAAAGTACCTTTAGAGACACGGAAATAAACAAAAACCATTCCTTCAAGAGTCTTTTAGTTAAAAAAGAAGACATTCATAATTTCCCTTCAATCAAACAATCAAAATAAAATGCAGGTCTACAACCAGAATGACATCAGAGTGCAAGATAACCGAAATGTAACATGGAAAGACAATCTGGGAATACACATTACTTAATTAAACCCAAATAAGACCAGCATCCACTTCTTTAAAAACATACAGGTTCATCTCATGAAATACGTACAGCTCACAGTCCACCCCCAAATCAAAAGAAATATGAAAATCAATCCGATTTTAGAAATATTAAAATTGTTTGGACATTTGTGACATTTTCATGATAATTAAAAACACATTTAACCCCAAACTCTCATTACCGTAATGCATCTGGACATAATTCTCAATGATAATTCCCATTAGTGTAATACAATAGTGTAAAAATACAGTAAAATCATTTAAATCTGCACATATTAAAGGCAAAAAAAAAAAACATACTACCATGATGTGCAAACTCACTATAAATAATACATAATTATTTGTATAATGTAATGAGAATCGGGAGAAATGGGTTCAACTGTCATGCAAATAAATCACGATGCAAAAATGTTTTTACAACATCATTTTTGTCCATTTCATTTTGAGGTGCAATATGACCCCAAAAATCAAACAAGACATGCTCTTTGACAGGTTTCATGAGCTTACCCCTATCATATCAAGCAGGACTTGGTAAAAAAAAAAGCCCAGTTCCTATGAAGGTACATATCGAATCAACTCAGTGATTATTTCTCTTTAAGGGGAATTCTATTTAAACTCTTTCACTATAACCGATCAAAGTGACACTATGCCTTGTATGTAACACTATACACTTACACATCTCAGTCATGTGTATTTGAACGAGGAAACCCTGGCGTCCTTCCAATGAGCGAGACAGGTTCTTTCCACATCAGTTCTATGAAAGTTGTGGGTGAATTAATATGGCAGTGAAGTAAGGAAACCACCTACATGCCCCAAATGAAATCCCTGTAATTCATTGTATTAAATGTTTAGAGATGAAATCCAGCACACAGAGAATTGAACTGGCATGACAATCTTTTCCAGTTAGTGTGGCTCGTAATAAAAGGGTGTAATGATGGGTGTGCAGAGGTTTGGCTGGCATAAATAAACGGCATGGTACGTAGATATGAGTACTCATGACATTTTCCCAATCTGGATTTTCTTCCAGGCTTCAGAGGCCGTGAATATGCAGGAGTCAATGATGCCGGCCACTGTGAACGTCCCACCGATGATAGCGCAAATCTGACCGAGACAAAGTCAACATATATATCATTAGGGAGAGAGAGACCGAGAGAAAGCTATAAACACAGAGAGCGGCTCACAGTAGTGATGAAGCGGTAGAACGGCTGTCTCCTCTCTGTGTATTTCACTGTGATTGGACTCAGGTCATAGCGAAACCATATTGCCGGGATGATGCGTCCCGTATGGCTATATGCCACATACTCCTAGAAAACAACCCAACAAATAGAACTTTTGGTCACACTTTAGCTTGGGGACCAATTCTCACTATTAATTAACTATTAACTATGAATAAACTAATTTGCTGCTTATTAATAGTAAGCTAGTTGTTTAGTGTAGGTATGGGGTCGGATTGAGTGATCTAAAATAGTCATGCAGAATAAGACATTAATATGTGCTTTATAAACGCTAATAACCAGCCAATATGCTAGTAATATGCATGCCAATAAGCAACTAGTTAATAGCGAGAATTGGTCGCTGAACAAGCTTTTTCCATTTTCATGCGTAATAAAAGATCAACTCTTTGACATTACAATAGTATATATCATTGAATTAGTAAATAATCATACAGTAATGCTCAACTAATGTTCATTAGTATACTGGACTAATGTCTACACTATACTCCAGTACTGTTTAAACTGAATACATGTGTTCTTCAAGAGGTGGAAATTCATTTTCTTTATAGGGGAACAGATTTTTAACAGTGGAATTCCTGGTGAAAAACTACATTACCCATGATTCTGCAGAGAAATCTAAACCAATCAGAGACCTGAACTGATCAAATCATGCCAAAAGAGCTACACCCACTGGAAATTATGTCTCCATACACTAACAAACTACTTAAATATTTGAATATGCATATTTTGCAATAGACAAAATATACTGATTTAATATATATATATATATATATATATATATATATTAAATCAACAATTTAATACTACTCAATCGTTTTTAATTTGATTATGTCATGTCACAAAACTTCATGGGGTTGCATTTCTTTCCGTCAATAAAGTTAAGTGCACAACAAACTTGTACCTTTTGTCTTTTTGTCCCATTTTCAAATAATTGTTTGCTTCTTTAATTGTTTGAACTGTATAAATGCATACAGTTCTGTGTTGTTTTCCTTCATATTACTTATTATAAATAATACAGAATTTTATGTGAAATAAAAAAATACATATTACACAGCATGAATGCATTAGTGGAGATGTGGGTGACCCCTGAAATCAGGTGTCAATTTGTTAGGACAGAAATTAATAAATTACTTTTTATTTGGTTTCAATTAATAAATATTTAAGTTAAAATATTATGAATACGATTTAAAAAAAAAATACAAAAACAAATGTATGTAAAATCAACAAGAAAAAAAGAAAAATTAAAAGCAGCCTAATTGTGTAAGGATAAAACCCTCATAGTCAATTCAAATCTCCAGTTTAAAACAGCCAATGTAAGCCATTTGGCCACAATTATGGCCTCATTACTGATTAAAAAGCAGTCTTTGGCCTACAAGCAATATGTATAATAACACCAAAGTTGACCTGAATTTGGACAGCGTTGACAATTACTCTATAAACAACTATATGCATATGACTATCAAATCAGTTGCTGCTGAACACTTTCAGACGTTCTGTTTCACACCAGGTGTCTCCTAGAGCCTTGCAGAATCAGAACAAGGGCTTGACACTACACTCATACTTTGAGTACTTTTCACACCCTCTGAATAAGAACAACCTGACTACATATTAACTCACAGTACATGGCCTTCTGGTCACGTACACACATAATGCCGCCAGCTGTCACTGCAAACGTCAGTGTCTTTAGAGGTGATAAATGGTTGATGGTACTTAATAATAGAGAGACATAATTCATTCAGCATCTGTGGTAACCACAGGCTGATTTAAGAGCCATCAGCAAAGCGCATTCATATATTTAGACTCGCAACTTCACGCGAGCTTCTCAGTAACGTGGATGTGTGTGTCTCAGATTACCTTGTTTGCCACGGTGTACTGGTAGGAAAATCTCTGCTTCCCTCCCAGGTCCTCATAAACTGTAGGGACGATCTTGAGAATGTAATCGTGAGATGCTAAAGCTGAAGAAAAAGAAACACATGGCTTAATTTCTCTAGAAATTATACACAGATACAGATAAACAAACACACAGGATGGTGGCTTATTTGATTTGAGTGACGTCGTTCTTTCTCCTGTTACTATGATCTATTTATGTGCTGTTTTGTAATACAATCTGTGTGACTTGTGTTCGGTTGGATGCTCATAAGCATTGCACTTTGATGTCTCTCAGTTACACGAGTCCACAAATGAACAAGCGTAAGCAGTGTGTGCAGCAGTAATGCAGCAATAACAGTCCTGCTCATACTTAAAGGTTTGAACAAACTTCTACAGTAACTCGTGTTACTTCCCCCCCTACTAAGGACATGTATGATACTCAAAAAAACATGGCTTAAGGATTCTTAGGACTATCTGGGGCAAAAGATTTGATAAATGTTTTGGTACTACAGTTAAGATCTGTTCAAACCAAGGATGATAACTTTAACCATATGGTTATAATTATCATTCTACTTCTATGAGAATAGCAAAGTCCACACTATAGCACAGAGGATCAATATTGTTGGAATCACTTTCAGAACAATTTTTTTTCCAGCTGATGAATCAAAAACATTGGTAGCCAATTAGAATCCACTCAACCTTAAAGAGATTGAGCATTCGGACCGTCCCTCTAATCCTGCCTTGTCAGATAGAAGATTTATTGCCATTTATACACAGTCATGAGGGTTTGCAGGGGTCCTCTATATGATATAATTTCCTTTTTATGGTTTTTTTTTCCAGCATATTGATTGCACCTCATGACTTTTTTGGTTGTGCCACATGACTTTTATTTGGCAGACAAAAGTTTTTCAAATATCACCAAGCAGTTAAGCAGTTCTGTTACAGTATATTTTATAAACAACAATTATAAACTAGTATAGTAACACTTTACAATAAGGTTTTATTGGTTAACATCATTTAACTACATTAGAAAACATAAACTAATAATTGAAAATACTTCTAATGCAGTTAATAATATTAGTAAATGTTAATCTCAACCTTTACAATACATTATTAAACCTGTATCTGTTAATATTATTTAAGGCCTAACATGAAATAACAATGAATAGTTGTATTTTTAGCATTATATATTGCAAATGTAATGTTAGCACTTGTTAATAAGTACTTGTGATTAATAATGAATGTACTGTGCATTGTTAGTAAACGCATTAACTAACATAATGAAATAATGTGATCTTATTATAAAGTGTTACCACCATAATGAGCCTTCCTCATTAGGATACCAGGGCAGTTGCATCACCCTGACATTTCTGACACAAATTAAATACACTCATCACTGAAGAGGTATATACACTATTGTATGTATATGTGTGTGTGTGTATATATATTATATATTATTATACATACAAAAAAACTATGAATGTGTGTGTGTGTGTATATACTGTATATAAGTATATACATATATATATACTGTATATATATATATATATACACACACACACACACACACACACACACACACACACACAAAAAAATACTTTTTTAACATTTCCTTTGCTTATGTACGCTATAGAGTAAGCGGCTAGAAATGAAGAAAGCTCACAAACAGACATACCATTGGACTGAAGTCTGTTGGCTCCACCTAATGCATTAAAAGCCCCCCGGACATGCTGCACCTGCAATTGCGTGGTATGACAATGATTTCTACATGTTTATTTTACATTTCTATATTTCTAATTGACTGCATGTGGACTACCGACCTGAAGCTTCTCCCCAAAGGCGAGTTTGTGAATGATGTGGGTCATATCAGGGCTCTGAGGCTGAGCAGTCGCACTATGTGTTGACACATGAAAGTTTCCTGGAACCTACAGAAAACAGACAAAGTCAACACCATCATCACACAGGCAAAGACATCAGATAGTACAATCTCCTTTCACTTGAGAGAAGGCTTTTCATTTGAAGACAAAAATGGTTTTTCCTTCAGTTAGCATGTGAATCTACAAGGACACTAATGACACTCCTGATAGCTTAAGTCCCACAAGAAACATTCAACTCCCAACAAGCAGAAAAGAATGCGACTAACGTCAAGCATCTCTTACTTTATTAATACTGAACTCCCCTTCAAAGCGGCACCCGTGACCATTGTTTAGAGGCACTTTCATTGAATTCTCTATGTGGCCCACTTCATGCCGCCCCATCTCATCCTGGATGTCCAAACCCACCACTATGTATATACAAATATATAGACACAACAGAAAATAGAAAAATACAGACAAATGGTGAGGACACAGAGCTTGAAACACCTTCATTTACATTGCATAAAAGGACACTTTTCAATAACAATAACAACAAATAATAATAATAAATACAGTGCACAGCATAAATGAGTACACCCCCTCTGATTAAATATAAAAGATGTATTTTCTTAATGATCACAAATATAATTCTTAGAAAGATGGCAAAATTGAAATGTATTAAATATATTCTTAATAAAAACAGAGAAATACATGCAATTAATATCTGTAAAATAATAAACTTAGCCAATTTTTGTTTAAATGAAGGATTGCAGAATTGAGCACAACCTAGATTTAATTCAACCAAGTGTAATATTCTAGAACTTCATATGTCCTCCATAACTCTAAGTACACTGCTCTGACACTTCTTGGCACTGAGTGTACCAAGTTCATGACAATTTTTCACATCTGTGCTGTTTAACTCCTGGAGGACGACCTCCTTGAATGCTCTGGTCTTTAATGGGGAGTGTTGCTCAGCTCGTCTCTACAGAATCTCTCACAGCAGCTCAAGACTCAGAGTGTTAAGATTTAGTGAAATACATGTCCACTGAAGGATTTTCAACTCAGGAGAATGAATATCTTCATTGGCATGTTAAAAAAAATGCCCAACAATGCAGGGAACTCTTTCCACAGCTTTTGCCGGCTCGGAGACACTTGCATGTTATTTCTCCTGCTCTTTTTCTTGCAAAAACTCACTCATCACTAAATGAAAGCTTAAAGTGAAGAACTGATTATTTCAGGGGCCTTTTCACAAGTCCATTGTTTTTTTATTTCTGTGTTACTTTGGCTATATTTTCACACTTTTCTTCTTTGGTAACTGATCAAGCAGACTTGCTGGAATATTATATCTCTAAAAAACCATAACATATCTTCTAAGCAAAGAGTAATTGCTGAATTTGTTAAGTTTCAGAGGGGGTGTACTCATTTATGCTGTGCACTGTACATAAATAATCCTTTTCTCAACTGTTCTTGGTGTTTGACAGACTAACTGGCAAAGTCTTTTTTTTTTGGTGAACTATCCCAAATCTTCATACGTATGCAACATGTTCATGAGTTCAGTAGAATCATTATACACAACTGTTTTTTGACTTTTCACAGCTAAGGAATAAAAAACCTCAGTAGTGTCACGTAGCAGATCTTCTGACACTGTGGTGTATGCTAAGAGCATGTTGTCACGTTGCCCAATGCTATTTTAAGACTGCCATCCTAAATGGGCGAGAAAGCAACACTGACTCTTTACCCTTGTGAAGACGGGTATAATTACTATTCATGATCTCAAAAGTACAAAAAAATAAAGGCCAGCCAGAAAATGAAAGGAAGAATGATTCCATTAAACGCTTTCCAGTGTTTGACTATTTCCACTGAGCTAAACTACTGACGTTGCTCTGGTCGCTTATTACTTTTTGGACAGTTAAAGACTTAAACCATAACATCTTTTTTTAGATTAGATTCCAGTAAACTTCAAACACACAATCTCCACTCATTATAGAGTAAATGTGCGAATAGAAACATTTAATTGCCTTTTTAAGCACAATCTGATGCGTGTCCAGAACACTAAAAGTCTTGCAACGTTTTCTTAGCACATGAAGGAAAAAGCATCCTCATTTTCCACATAAGCACACAAGTGTTGAAAGTCACGTTTCTACTTCAAGGGAACAATGTGTATGCCTCTAAAAAATAATGAATTTAGCACGGTAAGAGTAACAACATGGAAAGACCACATGTACTTTTGTTAAAAATCCTTTCCAAGGATAACATGATGTGGCATGTCATATGGCATGTATCAATTATCAGTTATTATGGAACAAATTTTAATGTTTAATGACTACTGATTCATTCGCAACATGTACTATTACTGCTCTTATTATTCTAACCAATTAGACATTTCATCTGGTAGATAATAAAATGAGCATGAACTAAAAAGCCCATTGATTTGCATTGAAGTAATAACTCAAGTCCTATTTACAGGCCAGAGACTTACATCTGACTTCAGAGGGCCAGCATTAACCACCTAGCAACCAACCACAACACCTTAGAAACCTCTCAAGAATACATTACATGCTTATCAATCCCCTAAGAACCACCCTTAGCATCATGGAGGCAACTTTTTCAAGGGAAATAGCCACTCGCGTTCTTCAGAAAAGGTCAAACTTGACATCGACTGGTACTTCTTATAGTTGTTTGAAAACAGTACACTCATTATTGAGATCACAGTGAGGCTTGTCTCCATGACTCATAACAAAATCCGAAAAATTTGGGTTTCAGTCAGAAGTGCCTCATTTAAAAGAAAATGTGTCTTCCATAATAGGCATAACCTCTTGTTTCTCACCAATGAGAACTGCCCAAGATGTTGTTCTGAACATAGTTTGGGCTCTGTGTAATGTGTGTGAAACAGCCAGTTGCAAATGTCTTTGCAAACATTTGAGGATCTGCCCGAAAATGACATCAGAGGTGACCACAATTCCACTGAGGGTGCTGACATTTAGAAACACAGTCTTTAAAGGGGTCATATGATGCTGCTAAAAAGAACATTATTACGCCTTCTTTCTTTGCGTGAACATTTGGGCGGCGTTATGCAAATCTTCCCACATAGTGAGGTAGATATGTGGGGCGTGTTAGAACGAGGCGTTTTAGATAGGTGTGGCTGACTCTGAACTTTTATAAAGAATATCTCTTTGGATTTGAGACTTTAGTCTTTGCAACTTTACAGATCTTCTTTATGCACCAAGAGCTTGTAACACTCCAAAGAGAAAGGAAAAATTGAAATCGCATCATATGACCCCTTTAAGGCACTTTCCAAATTAATTTTAACCTTTTTTTTTTTTGAATTTGTTCAAAAAACAGCAAGGGATATTGGTTATGCTTGGCAAAACTCATCACTGGACCTATCGTTCAATGATCCTAATTGGTGCTTGGTGATGCATCTAAAAATCTAAAAAAATTTTTATATATAAACCCCCCCCCAGTTTATTCAATCAAAACAGTCACCTTCAAAATATTTAGATATTGAATGCATCTAAACTACAGTAAAAATCTGCATATAATCAATTACCACACTTTTCACTAAATAAACATAAGGAAGAACTTTTCACCATTTTCAGTTAAATGTTTCCTCATTTTATCTCACTAGTAAAGTCATTTGATACACTGCCCAGCCTTAATCTAAATAACTAGTGATCAACTATTGTCACAATATTCCAATGGTGACTTAAGAGTTGATCACTAGTTAAATAGGGCATGCGACTGAATCATTTACGCAAACATGACATATCAGGTATTATTTGGCAAATACTCATTACCAAATATGAAACAGTATTTCCTCATACGCTTACTCATGTCTGACCATACATTTTCCCGGTGAGTTTCAAAAGATTGGGTTTGACTGACGGATAGGTCTATCCTAATCCTTCTGTGAGAAAGCACACACAATGTGTCAAACTGAGACTTTCAGTGATGGTAAACTGTGTGGGAGGTCGCCATTGTGCATCGTTTCCTATCACAATGTACGTCAGGAGCTCTGCTAAATGAATTAAGATCCCATACTAACAGTAATGTCACTGCTAACACTCATAACATGTCAACAAAGGATGATGTGATACACATGTGGATGAAAAAAACATCATTCAGAAGAGTGTTTATGTATTTTATGTATATACTCACAATCACAGTGTAAGTTTGGCAAACTGATGTTTAAACTCACATCTATCTTCCCCCCACTGTCCTTATCGGGGTCATCCACATACAGTTCATTTACTCTGTAACACACACACATACATATGAAAACACAAACTTTAAATATAGTACTGACAAGCATTAGACATCTGTAAAGGTCATCGTCTAAAAATTATGCAAGCCTGACAGTAAAATGACAAAACTGCAGTGAGTGCAATTTTCGTTTCCTCACTTCCCCCGGTGAACACTTGAAAGCAGTTCACAAACAGGCACCAATGTCTACGTCCTGTGTGAAACTGATCTGTCACTAAAGTTACAACAGTGTGATTGCATTCGGGTCATAAAGTCATGCATCTTGAGTGCTGATAAAAAAAAACACCCCAAAATACCATTTTAAACAAAACCGGAACATTTTTACTAACTATAAAAACGTCATATGGTCTAACCATTGCACTAAAATCAATGTACACTAATATAATTTTGGATTCAAAAATATCCTGACCTGTTCTTGAGGTTGTATTTATGATACCATCATCAGATTTTAAACTAGACTTTTTTCTGATTACGATCTTTGGACGGTTGGATCACTTAGACATTTTTGATTATAAACCAATTAATTGACAATTAATTTTAATTCAGAAATGAAAGACATTCAACGTAACATGCTTGTATGTTCTTGTAAGTCAGTGTCTATGTACATTGAATTTAATATATTTTTTAATTTTTTATTTAATACTATGTTTGACTGATGTCTTCATGAGAACAACATTCATACATACATTTCTGTAGCGATGAATCCCGTCAGTTCTGAGAGAAAGAGGAACAACATGAAGACGCAGCAGCATATTGAAACTGAGGGGATAAGAAAAGGTCAAGAAAACATTAGTGAGCTGTTTGTATAACAAAACTGGAGTTATATTGTGTGAAGATATTTATTCAAAGTAACATTTTCAGTTTAAGTGTTTGCTGAAAGTAACTCATTTTCAGAAATGTTCCTTGTTGTTAGCAGTGATTTCATTTCTTTAAATTATGCCTGACTATGCAAAATGACGTCAAGCATATATTAAAAGTCAAAGGGCCATTACATAAGGGTGTTCAACAGGCGAATAAATGTGCGTGGATTTATTGCTCTGGTTAACGTAATCGTTACCAAGTTCAACATGTGACCAAATGAGTCAAACTGAGAGGCTGTCTGCAGAAGCTAGTGCATATTTACATGGAGACAGTCTCCAGTGACACTTCGGTCACGTGACTTTGTGGCTGACACGTCATACTCTGAGTCTGGTTTGTTCCAGTTTACTAAGCTAATGTTTAGCTATAACACAAACAATAAGGCGTGTCGCTATGACACATAGCTCACGGATTCAGGTTCAATATGGGTTATATCACTTGTTCCACTTTAATGACGATAATACTGGGAAATAATTATTAACACTTCGATGATATTATTATTACGTGTAAATGATTGCATTTTCTTTTGGTTAACAGTATTGATATATTTATAACTACACTGAAAAGTTCTAAAAAGACTTGATTAAATCAGATGACGTTATCTTCTTTAAAAACAGGATGGATTAAATCATACAAATTATGCTATCTTCACTGAATACTGATTTTAGCTTATTGTCTGTTTCCCTTCCTATCTTTTTGTCAACTCAACAGAAAGGCAGAAAAGTTGATTAAACATTGATTTTTGTTTTGCTCATTGGTTTCATACAGAAAAACTTTAAAAACAGTAAAAAAAACAAAAACTGACAGATGCCGTTAATTTCAAATATTTTGTGTTTTTTTTCCCTGTTGAATATAAGGAACTATTTTGTTAACTATAAGGAAAAACTTTAAAAGTCCATAAAATCAAACGATGTTCTCTTAGTAGACGTTCATTCTGAAAACATCTTAAAGGGATAGCTCACTATTTACTCACTCAAGTTGTTCCAAACCTGTATGAATTTCTTTCTTCTGCTGAACACAATAGAAGATATTTAATAGTATTTTTTTTTCAATATCTTTGGTTAACCATTCTTTCAAATATCTTCTTTAATGTTCAATGGAAGAAATAAACTTATACAGGTTTGGAACAAATGTGTAAATGATGACAATTTTCATTTTGGGGTGAACTATCCCTTTAATACAACCACCCAACTTACAAACCATAGATATTTACCCTGGGTATGTGAGAACTTCATCACAGAACCGGTTTAGGAACAAAATATTTAGGTTGAGTTTAGGGTTGGTCTACACAGTTTTCTGCAAACATGACTAAATGTTAAGTAATTCACTCGAGGCCAAAACAACAATGGAAAGAGCCACAGGAACGAGTGTAGAATGACATAGTCCTACTACGTGAGTCAAACGGCAACACCTAGCATTACAAACATCCATCCTTCCGAATCATGATTGAACGATGAGCCATAGTTAGGAAACTAAAACTGACTCAGCAAACTGGTTTGGAAAAATACAATTGTGGATCAAAGGAGGAATGCTGATGTGAGCAGACACAAAAAGGAAGCACACAAATAAAGCAGCAGAGTAGAAACAGGCTGTAAAAGCCAGTGCCAGATGAAGCAAGCTATTGGTTGACAGGAGTGGATGAGGGTCTATGATGGCAAATTAACATTATAAACTGTGGCACTCACTGAAAGCTCCGGTATATGTGGGCTGGGTAAGATCTTTGGGCACTTTCCTGTAGATATCGAACCTGGAAGGAAAAGAAAGAGAAGAATAAGGGGGAAAAAAAGAAAGGTAAATATTGCAGACTCCTGGGAAGAGTTCATGTGAAAGCACATTGTGTTCCCAGTGTAGTTTAAGGCATTACAGAGGAGTTTAGGAATGTGAACTATGGGCCTCTGTCCACGAAACACTGGCCCAGACGCAACAGTCTAGAGCGACCCCCGCTTCTTGAGTTACACCTCTTCCTCTGCATTCCTGCTTTACAATCACAACCTTCCTCAACAACAACTTTCTTCATACAAAAGTGTGGCTGAGGTCAGAGCAAAGGCTGTCAGCACTGACTAAATACACATTAATCACTGTGGCCCTTCAGGCTACACTAAATATCAAAATAGTTAGACATCTTTAAAATGAGATACATTTACTTGCAGTTTGCTGTTTTGGTTTTCGCTGCATTACTGTCACTTGATTTTTTCCCCTTTAACTTAAATTTAGTGAGGTTTAGCCTGAAACAAGTGAAAAATACCTACAAACAAACAAGACAACATAAGTACAAAACATCTTATTCGTAATATATTTTGCTACTCCAAAGAATGTATATTGTTTTAATTATGTTTACATATTTTGTTCAGAAAAACAAGACAAAGATGATAGTGAGTCTCACTAAGAAACAATCAAGGTGATATTTCAGCCCCCATAAGGGAAGCAATTAAATAATACAATATTTTGAATAAATAAAATGAAGTCAATTTTTCAGACAATTGAGATTTGGGGCAGAAATTGTTTTATA